AAAAAAAAAAAAAAAAAAAAAAAACACATCATAGTAAAATTAATACCTTCTTCGCTTCGCATCGAAGCTAAAAGTACAGCACAGTGGAATTATTATATAGTCAATATAGATGACTTCTGGCAGTGATTAATATAACTTTCCTAAAAAAGGTTTTCATTCAAATCCGTTAAATTTTACATAATTAGTGTATTTCAATTCAAAAATTGCTACATTGTAAAAATTTTTGAACGTCGAGTTTCTGATAATAAAATAATCATGAGATAATTTTATTTTTTAAGTTTTTAGTACACTTCAAGAACTTATAATGATATAAATTATGAGACATTCTGGAAAATGAGTTATAAACACAAGTTTATATGCGCGAGTAGATTTTTTAAACCTCCATGTACTTTAATTTTCATAAAAAAACATATATAAAAAAGCTTATCTCTTTTATATTTTATTAAAATTTCATTAGGATCATTGTTAAAAAAGTAAGTATAGCAGTTTTGGAATGTGGAAGAAATGTATGAAAATATCATTTTTTATGGTAGCGTAATTTAGTGATATTTATATCATAGTAAAACCAATATCTTCACAGCTTCTCATTGAATCTAAAATATTCTTTTAACGTAGTCTTAAAATGAAAAAACTTTTAAAAAATTACATTGAAATTCTAATTATATTTCAAATTATACAATTTGTCGGTTAGTTCTGTTCCACTCAATATTTTATTGGTTTTAAATATAACTGAGTTACACTTTCATGAATACTTGTAAACAAATTGATAAAATGTAATAACAATTTACATTTATACTGTATAGTACAATATTAGTTTCATCAAATAGATTAGGCAAGAGTACAAGCGTTGCATTTCATTCATATGAACAACGAATGGTTGCTCTTTAAGTTTTCCTGTGATCACCTACCTGATGTCTGTATAAAGTTATTCCAAAAGCATATTTGTAGAGAGAATCGTAGCTCTTGATAACTCTTCCCCTCAAATATTTTAAACGGTTGTTAAAAATGAATATTTTATATTATTAAAATTAAAAATTTATTTCCCCAAAAATACACGCTGGTATAACTTACCAGTTGTATTTTAACAAAATGACTATAGTATAAGAGCGACTTTCTACAAGGTATACAAAAATATTAAATATTGGTAAATGGTATGTGCTAAATATGTAGCATAGACTTTAAATACCCTTCAAATTATCACTTATGATCATCAAATGATTCACTGTACATAATATCACTTTAAATTATAAAAATAACTTCTTATCAAAAGTAATGCAATTAAAATTAACATCTATATACTATTTAATCCAGAGTAAAATTTTGGAAGACTCTGGTGCAGAGACTATTACACCTCAATTAACAAAATTTTCCTGGCTTCAAATTTAGTATTTTTAATACATATTTATGAAAAAAATACAGAAAATGTTCAGTTATGACGCTTTTTTTATCTTTAAGCGATACATTAGAATACAACAGAATATATATTAGTTATTTTTAGTATCTATTATTTGTTTATACACAAAGGGGAATAGTGCATCGTAGTGGATCATTCTGTTGCTACCTAAGCGTAGATGTGTGACCATACGGAATCTTTAACAGCGATACACGCTTTGCTTTCTTACTAGCTTCTTAAGTTATTATGAAGAAGGGTCCATAGGTGGTGTAAAATTCTGACAGATTGAAAGGTAGAGTCGACCCAAAATAGTTGAGAAAAAGACCGAGGAGATGATTGTTAATTCATATTCTATTGACGTAACTAACAAAAAAATTAGTAAATTATGGGAAGTTCCATAAATATATGAAGATCCTCTCTTTTAAAAATACTTATTTTTTATTCGTTAGGACAAATTTCAGAAGGGCATATATTAAAAAAAGTTATCAAAAAGTATTTCGAAGTAATTTTCTACTTGAAAGGTTCCTCTTATGATACACACTTTGGAACCCATTCAGGTTAAGTTACAGTTCATTCGCTGTGTAGAATATTTCTTTTGAATTAATTTTAGTATTATTTTGTAACCACTTTTTTAGCGGGTTACGGGGATTGCCATGAACGGATAATGTCTCGACATTTACATACTCCAATGGGGTGAGATTCTAAAAGTCAGAGTAATACGCGGTAATCTCTGGTATCAGATATTCGAAGTACCAAATATTTGTAGTAATAATCGCTTTATAAAATGTCAAATATATAAATGTCGGAGTATTATCAGTGCGTAGCAAATATGTTTTCTCATTTTTAACAATACTAAATTATATTTAAGTTGTATAATATTTTCTATTTTATGGCTACACAATGGCGTTACTCAATGTAACTTTTCCACAACGTTTAATCAGGTACTTGACTATGAAAATTTGTCACTTTATCATTTTGTTCCCTGATAATAGAAAGGTTTTAAGGGACATTTTTAAAAATGAAATTATCATAAAGGTATATATAACTTCATTTTTTTTAATTTAAATTAAGTTTATGTATAATGTGCAATGTATAATTTTAAAATTATACTCAATGTTTGAAACAAATTAAAATACTGTCTAAGAGTATAAATTAACACTTGAAATTAAAAACTTAGAACACCAATGGAAACAATGGTCTTGGATAGCAACTTAATAGATGTGATTTGTCTTCAATTGGCAAAAAAATGTTTTTTTACTAATTAAAATCTAATAAAATAAAATTATTATGGATAGAAAATTATTCTTCAATATTTTATTATAATTTAGCATACAATTTCTCAAAACAATGTATATTACTTTTCTAATTTTTAAGAATTTGTATATAAAATTTTTAAATTTATTAAAAAAGTTTAATAAAATTAATTAATTTACATAATTTTTTTTTATTGTGTTCAATAAAATAATAATCAGTTCAACAATTATAATGAATAGTAAAAAGTATAACAATAACAAAACTATGTTTTAATGCTTTAACAAATATGACAATAATTGCTATAAAAACTCTAAAATAGAAAAAAACTGAACATTATTCAAAATAATTGTTAAAGAAGCATTGTATTTAATGAACAAATTAAAAAAATCATTCATTTTAAATTTTTATTTGAAAGATTAGAAGAATAGAAAAGAAATTAATTAGAGATTAAATGACAAAGTCGGAACTCTTCAGGAAAGATATGATGGAAATATTTTTAACGGGGAAACGGGAATTAAGAATATTAGCTACGGAAGATGGCTTAATATTGTGAGTCGCTAAGAGGCTAAGTAGTGTATTTCTGTCGTTAATTAAGGCAGGATAATCAAAGAAAAGATAGGGAAAAACAGATAGAACTTCACTATCATGTAGGGGACAGAAGGGAACGCAATTTAAGGAAAGTTAATGAAATGCATAGTAGGTATAAGATTAATTTATATATTTTTACGCAATATGAATAATATTTTTATGTTATAACAAAAAAATAAAAATGAATAATTAAATTATTTAATATATGTGAACATAACTAATTATATAACAAGGTATTTTTTAGTCATGGTCGTAGGGAATTTTCAAACTAAAAATTGATGAAAGTTGATTTTCAAATGAAGGAGTAACATTAAATGATTCCAAAGAATTCTTATAGTTTTTTTGAGTGGCTATTGAATTAATAAACTGTGCTGAATTTGACATTGTTGGTGGTGTAGTATTTGATAACGAATTAATGCATTTCTCAATAATTTTCCAAGGTTGTGAAGTTGATGAAATAGCAGAATCTGTACATGGGTCTGAAATAGAAGTAGTAGTTGACTTCTCAGAAGATATTACTGAACACGAAACATTTTCAGAATTTGAGAATTCCGGTAAATTTATTGGGTTCGAATATGCTATATTAATATTTAAAGCGTCATATGGCTTTGAAAGTAACGTTGTAAAGGATGATAATGGTTGATAATATTGATTAGAAGCTTCATTTAAAATATTTAATTCACTATTCTTTTGATTTTTACATTTTGATATATCAAGTTTTGACTTTGAATTCAATGGTGAAACTTTGGCAGACGTTGAAGAATATGTAAGGCAGGCTGAAGGCAACGAATTATGTAAATAGTGAGTTGATGGTAAACAAGGTGTTAATAGTGATGATGGTCCCTTATTAGTATTAGGAGGAGATGCCGAATTTAATGAAGATCCATCAGATAACAATGGTGACAATAATTTTAATATAGCTTCATTATTATTTGGTAGTAAACATTGTGTTTTAAGCGTTGTTTGGCTTGGAATTAATATTTGGGTAGTTTGCGAATTTGTACCAGGAACAGTTACACTACTTGGAGTTACTTTGGAGTACATTGATGATAATAAATTTAAAATGAATGTTCTATAATCAGTAGATGTGTAAGACACAGGAGCGGAAACTGTAACGTTGGATTTTACTTCAGGAAGTAACACAGATGAAGGAACTTAATTTGAGCACAGTATGGTAGGGACAAATGACTTGGGATTACAGTATGGTGTACCTAAAAAATTTTATCCCATAAGTCAATCAAATAAATTAATTAAAAAACTTAAATTATTACCAGATATAGTATATGGTGTAGAAACTGATGCACGTGCTTGTGAATTACTAGTTGTACCTAATAATTTGTTGTTAAAAGTTGTAGTAGGAATCAAATTTGTATTATTAGCTGAACACTGATGACTGAGAGGAAATGAGTGTCAAGAACTGATTTAAAAGAGCCGGACTAATAGTTAATGAACTGTCAATTGTAGATACTATTGAAACTACGAATGGTATTTGTATTAGTTTTTGAAATCCATATGTTTCACATGGAGTTCTCTCCATGTTTGTTAATCTAAATTAAAATGAATTGCCTTTAATACTAAATATTGCAGTAATTAATTATAATGTTTTTAAACTTGTCATTTTTATATCTATTGGTTAAAAGACGATATGAATGAACTAATGTTAAAATTATTAGGTTTCATATTTTATAATATAAAATCAGAATTTTATATTTTTACTATTGTCACGTATAAAATTATACTAAACCATACATTATCGAAGTTTGTCAGATAGAATTATACTGTATTTTGGAAAATAATATTCCAATATTGTGCCTCATTAAAACACATGTTTATTCATCATAATTACTAAACGTCAACTAGTCATTATATATAGAGGTTATCGAACAATACTGATATGTTAAAGGGTGAAAAATACGTATAATAGTAAACAACATAAGAGTTATACTTTTCGCATTCCAAAAATCATATTTTTTTATATAAATGAAAAAATTACATAAATAACAAAAATTTATTTCAAGGTAGTTCTGATGACATTTATCAATGACTTTTTTCTAATTACTATAATTAATTTTTTTTTTTAATGATATCGACGAACAAGTTTCTGGGGCTTATGTCCTCGGGTTCCCTCTGTATGAGAACCACCTCATATTAGTTATAAACGTTTTTTATTCGTTTTTCATTAATTAAATTTTGTTATTTAAAATAACGTAAAATATTTACAAGATTAAAATGACATCCCATTAAATGTTCATTAAAACGACAGTTCTACAAAACCAACTGTAGTTAAATTAAATTCAATATTTTTCTGTTTATAAAGTAAAACGAGAACAATTAATTTAAATTATTATTTTGAGAAGGAGACAGGCTAACCTTAGTTTACTACTAGCGCCTCAAAAGGATATATGAATCGAAATTTTGTTTTTTTAATAATTTACACCATGTTCTTAAAACATGGAGATTTTAATTTTGAAAAATAATGGAGTACAAAACTTTAGTAGAGTATAATTCAATATGAAAATGTCATACAACTATTAATTTAATTAATTTAGGAGTATTGTAACAAAATTATTACTTTTAAAAATATTCATTCGAGTATTTCTTCAACAAATTGTTGTGTCAATCACAAAACCAGGAATTTCAATTTTTTGAGATCATTAGAAGAAAAAAAAAACACACCATTTTTGTATAACTAATAATTATCGAACAAGGTTTTTTGAATACCTCATTTTTTCAATAAAAAATAGAGATTTTTTATTCTGATAACGCTTAAAATACGTGTCAATACTAAAAATATAAATTAAAAAAAAAAAACAATTTCTTAATGTAGGAGATATAGGTTTAAAAACTTTAACTGGAAGTCTGGTACAGATTCTATTATTTTATTTATTATTTGCCATTTTGTCATGCCCCTCCTTCCATTCATATATAAAATTATTCATCATTTCTGAAATACTCGTTCAATATTAATTATCGACCAGTTATTTTCTTAGCTAGGTAATTTTCTAAGCTAGTGTAATTAAACACCTGCCTTTGAAAGAAAAATGTTTTTTTTTAGGAATGGACATAAAAAATATTTAACGATATATAAATTGATAAATAAATATTACAAAACAAAACCAAAAAAAAATTTTCAGGATAATTATTTAAGTAAAAATTTAGTGGTTAAAATTAATTCAATCGCCCATGTTTATATGTTAATATTGGACAAAAATGTTTATTCTACAAACATTTTTTTACTTCTTTAAATCTACGTTCTCAACATAATTTTTAACAAATTTCTACGAAACCTTTAAGCTATTTTTGAGATTTTTTATTTTTACTATTAGCTATTTATAATAATCAAAGAAACATTTATTGTAATTTTACTGTTTTTTTGTATTACAAATAAATATTAAGAAATACACATTTAATTATGCATAGTTTTTATTTTAGAAAATAAATGCCTCAAAGCAATTAATCATCATTTTTTAAGTATAATCCATAATGTTACATATATTATATAAAAAGGTTTGTAATGATTTCAGAAAATCTTACCACACATTATTACTTCTATTTTTTTAACAACTTTATATTTTTAAGTTATAATTTCCAATTTTTAACGGAAAACATTAGATGATATCATATATTGTTCCGGAAAAACAAAATATTCTTAAGAATAATTGATATTACTCAAATTATACAATTTCATGATTACTACTTTTTTAATAGATCTTCATTCATTTCTTAAAAAATAATTATAGCATTTTCTTTTTCAATAACTCTTAAGTAATATTATTGTTATTTAAAATTTGTGACAATAAAAAAATATATAAAATAAAAATGTATTGTATTTCATTTTTAACTTTTTATTGTTAATTAAAAATACTTTATTTTTAACATTTTTTTAATAATAATAATTTTTTTCAATTGAAACTAAAAATAATTTACTAATAAAGAAATGTTAGTATAATTGTAATTTAAAAAGTAATTAAAATATTTTTAATTCAACATATTAATTACTTATGTTTACATTCAGACTTTTCAAAACATTATTACTACTGAATACATTTTTTATTAAACAACAGCTGCTTATAAATTTGTTTCAATTTTTGCAGGATTTTGTTCAATAGTACTAGACGTTAATTTTTCAGGTAAAACTTTTTCACTTTTTACATTATTTAGTAAACTTTCTACAATTTCTTTTTGTGTTAAGCTATTAGAGGTTGCTGTAGATGGTACTATAAAATTACACACAGCAGTATAAGTTTGTGGTTGTGTATTCATCAGCTTAGACAAAATATTTTGAAGAATTACGTTTGAATTTTGTGTACTACAAGAGTGTATTGAGTAATTTTGATCTACAATTGGGTATTGATTTAGACCTAAAATTTAAACAAAATTGATTTTTAATGATAGCTCATTTGATTGAGTTATTATAAATATTACCATAAGAATTAGATTCATAATTATTTGTTTGAATTGGATATTGATTCATTCCTAAAAGTAATTAATATTATAATTATTCATTGTATAGTTTAAAAAAAAAATTTCAATCATAAGTATTTTTTTATCTTACCATAAGGATTAGCTGGGAATGAGTTCTGCATGAAATTCGGTTTAAAATGTATTGGCCACGGATTTATTCCGGTAGGTGCTGATCGGGGTTTAAGTTGATTAGAAATAGAATAAGATTCTTCGTTATTCAATTTGCTTGATTCAGTAGACAAAGGCAGTAAATTTGATAAATAATTATTCTCAGTCGTGCCAAGGTCTGGATTCTTATTTACAGTGGATGTAGGATAATTCAACTGTGCAGAATTTGTTTTTAATAATGACAAATTACAATATTTAGAATATGAAGGCAAAGTTCTTAGATAATTTGCAAATGCAGGATTAAGTCCAGAGTAGGATATTGATGTTGATTTACACGACGGATATATTTTTGATATCATAGCTATAACTTCAGGACTGAGACCAGATGATTCGAGAGGCGTAGATGTAAGCGTTATAAAATTGCCCACATTAGATGTTGGTGCATTGTAAACCTAGAATAATATATTTATTTTGTTGCATTAGTGATAATAAAAGATGATCAAGTAACTGATTTGACGTCAAATTGATATAAATATTTTATCTAAAATTCTATTTTTTTCATGTTATTTAGGTCAGATATTTTAATAGGAAATTTAAGATACAATTAGTGTAAATTACTTACAGAAAATAAAAAGTTTATATGTATATATTTTAACATACCTCAATAACAATTGCTACAGCAATAACAATAACACTTTTCAAAATCACCATGTTTATTTTTTTTTTTTGAATACTTAATTAGTCTCTAATTACATTTGGACTTGAATATAACAATAGCTAATAAAATTTATACTTCTTATTTAAATGATCTAAGAAATGTTTATCTTTTTTTTATCAATATAGGTCACAAATTCGTCTTAACCAACTAATTTATCAAATTTTACAGTTCAAAAAACCTTCAAATTTTTCAAAAAATATGTAAATATTATAGCTTGTCAATTAAGTATCTACACTCAAATCATTATATTTATCGTCGTTGTTTTTGTTTATATTAAATGTTTATGCTTCTTCTAATAATTTTACCTTGAACTTTATTTATGTATCATTTTACACTACTGCGGATATTTAAATAATTACTAGTCATCTACTTACGTTACAATCAACTGAATAAAATAAAATAAATTTAAATTATCCCCAAATTTTTTTTAATATACGTTTAATTAACAGATTCTTAAGTAAGTAAAATATCCAAGTATATTTAAAATCAAACACACACGCACACACACACACACACACATATATATGTGTATTATTATTAGTAAAACTAAATAATTAGTTTTAATATAAATACAATTGTTTCTTAAAAATTATTATTTTATAAAAGCGTATTTAATAACATTGCATTTATTTTAATGGTTTTATGATATATTATAGTTTTTTTTTTAACAAAGTATTCATGAAGTTTTTTTAAATATAGCTTTCGGAAGTAAACTAAAACCTTTAATTATTATTAACAATTAGATAAAAAAGAAATATAAAAATGGTCATTATATATATTTTTATGGAAAAACTAATGCTGTTACAATATTACCATATTAGTTTTTATTTATGGTATACAGTATTCATATAAAATTGACTTATAACGACACATTTATAGAATAACTATTGTTAATTTTTTTTCTAATGTGATATATTAATTTAATTAATTCCTTATAAAAGCAAAATAATTATACAGATTAGAGAAATTTGTACTTAATTATAATATATTACTTTTTATTAGTTAGTAAAAAATTATAATTATTTTTTATACGATATTGTTCAAATTAAATATATAACATTTTATATGAATGTGTGTTGAAAAATCACATAGTAAGTAATAAAATTAAATATTTGAAAACTGATGACTAATTTAATCATTATTAGCTTTTAAAGTTTCTATGCGATATTAAGTATAAATTGTTCTTTTCTCAGTTCATTTGTTAATCTAGTAAACTAGGCTAACAATTGCCACCTAGTAAATCTTCTCTATCGTCTAGTTAGCTGAATTTTTTAATTTTTTTCTATCCAATCGGACGACAAAAATTTGTTAAAAAATACTTATACTATAACCGGGTGTTAATGTTGAGAAAATAATTTTTTTTTTGTCACTTGTGCGAATTGTTAAAAAAAAACCTGCACGGTGGTGTCGCGGCACAGTAGGAACGTGGTACAGTGGGGAAGTGGCATAGTTGGGTCAAGTATAATGATATCTGACAGTGATTAAAATCACTATCATAAAAAAAGCTTCGATGCAAAATTGTCGATAGTGTTTACTTTAAAAAAAATTGGTGGATTATTCCAAAAGCTACATGATCTCCTATTTCCTTATTTATATCCTGATTATAAGTTTTATGATTTATAAGTGTAATATATGAATAAATATATAAAGGGAAATGGTTTTATTTAAAAAATAATTATGTCGAATGAAAGAGATATATAAGTAGTATTTATCATAAAAAGATTGTATTGATCCATACATTTTTAAAAAAGTTATATAACATAAAGTTAAAAATGTAAAATATAAAATTGAGAATTTTTATACAAAAAAGGCATACAGTAGTCATTTTCATTGTAAAATAAAGTCTTATAAAGAATTTTTTTTTCCACAATAAAGTGTATTACATTACCTTTAATTTAATGTATATATATAAGTGTCACTATTTCCGGAACATTTTGAAAAGTTAAATTAAAAAAGTTGTCATTATGAATCCCTCCCTGTGGGCAGGTAAAAGGTCAAATTTATAAAAAAAAATATACTAAATAATAGGTTAAGACATCATGCATCTATATAAAAAATTAGGTTTATATGATCTTTTTTGATAAAGTAAAAAAAATTTTAAAAATTTAAAAAATTAACCATTTTTTTGGGCATTTCCCTCATTTACGGGGAACCAAAGAAATTTTTTCAATTTTTGAAGGTAATGTCTTCGACTAGATACATTTTATGATCTTTTGACGTATCGTTGAAAGAAATCGGTTTTGTGAGTGCTGAGAAAAAGTGGTAACAAACACAAAAGAAAAATTAAAAAAAAAACGCATAATAGTAATATACTGCTTTTGCTAGCTGAAAATTTAAAATAGCTTTTATACTAATAAAATTAATTGAATAGAATTTTTGTTACTACCAAATGTTATTTACTTATTTCGTAAAAATATAACTATAACAAAAAAGTATTGCACATTTAGTATCTTATCATAAAAATTTCTTAATAAAGGTTTTAGTTTCTGTTATATATTTTCATTAAGAGAGAAAGTAAATTTTTGATATATTAAAGAATAATTTGTAACATTCTTTCAATTTAAAATATTTATTACACTAATTGTATGTTTATAATGTAAAACTAAAATATTATTAAAATACAATTATATTATTGTAATACAATAGTATTTAAATTACTAATAATGTTTTAATAATTAATTTTATCATATATTAATTCATTTTAATTGTTAAATTATATAAATTTCTATAATGTATAATACAATAAATATAATTGAAAATTTGACTATGATTTAATGTTATAGTCTAATTTTATTTCAGACATTGAGTTTAATAACGATTTTGAATACGATACATCTGATTGTGAGTTTGGTTCAGTTTTATTTTCTGTAGTGAATGATGTGTCTGTAAGCAATAAATCTGACGAAGTGCAAGTCTTTTTTGAAGGCGTTGTATCTGAAGGACTGGGTAAACTCAGTACGTACTTCAATAGATCTGAATTAGAATTAAACAGTGGTTTTGAATTCAAAAATTGTGATAGAACAGGTGGAGATGTTAAAGATTGTGAGGAAGAATCAGGAACTAAAATAGAATTATGATGTATAAATTGAGGAGATTCAGATTTGTCATCGACATAATAATGATTATTTGCAATTGAATTTGGAAAATCTGTTTGTTTACTTTGAAAAATCGGTGAACTTGGAGAAAGTTTTGAAGAAGACGAAGTTTTTTCCAAAACTTTAGAGGTTAAATTAGAGGACAAATTGTATTTTGAATGAGATTCACATGGAGAATTTTGCAAAGGAAGAGAATGATTTAAAAGGTTTAAAATTAATTTTACTAAATCTGTTTGTGAAGTTGTTGAAGAATTACAATGTTTTGTTAATGGAAATAGAGAATCAAAATCATTTAAGCCATTTTTTTGAAGTTCTGAGGAATCAAATGATTGAGAATCCAGTGAAAAGTTTTTATAATTAAAATCTTGTTGAAGAGGAGTTTTCTGTAATTTTGATGTATCGCTTTTAAACTCAGAATTTACGCTTAATAATGAACACGGTAATTTAGAAGAAGTAGACGTTGCAGAATCTTGAATAGAGTCAGGTGTAAAAAGTGGAGTTAGTTTTGGCTGAATTAATGAAGAAGAATACGAGTCCTTCATTATTTTATATTCAGGCATTTGACATGATACATCTGGCAACGATAATGAAGGAGAGTAATTCGTAGACTGTATCGTTGTTTCTGGATTTTGGTTTTTCGATGTTAAAAATGAATTTGAATTTAAATGAGATGAGAGTGCTTCTTCTTTTGTTAGAGGATTTTGTGATAAATAACTTGATTTCGTATTTGTAAAATCTTGGTTTGGAGATATTGAGATAGGAATTAATTCTTTTGATGAGTATTTATTGAATGTTTGATCAGATTCTGAATGTACCAATGATTGTATAACATGATTTGGAATATATGATTCGAAATTTAATAAATCTGTATCATTAACTATAGAACTATTTGAATTTGGCGAAGATATCTGAGATTCTATTGAACTGGAAGTTTTTCCATTACAATCAGATTGAAGGGTATTAGGATATTTATTTTGAGTAGAATGTTCCGTCAAAGAATGAATTGAAGGTGGGTTAATTTGATTTGTTGAAGTTGTTTCTAAAGTATGAAGTAAATTATTTTGAAGGTTCATGTTTGTCCTCAATGTATTTAAATATTTTATTAAGAAGTTTTCAGAGCACGATGAATCAGTTGATAATGAAGATAATACAGGTGTATTTGGAATTAATTCATCATTTTTATTAATAGGTAGAGGTGTTGATAGTTGAGAAGAACATTGGCTAGATAAATAATTCAATACAGCTGGCTTAATATTTGTCGCTTGATATGATGATATTTGTGGTAATATAGGAAGAGGTGCTTTTTGTTGAAGTAAAGGACATGATGTCGGGCTATTAGACGGTGATTTAATAGCTGAATTTAGAATTGGGATTACTGATTTTAAAATGTCTGGATTTGAATTTTGATTTGTGAAAGTAGTAGACTCTATTGAAGGCAATGTCATTAATGTTGATAAACATGGTTGTGAATAAATTTTAGTTTCAAAAATTTGAGTTAATGTGGAACGTAAGGCTGTTATTAACTGTTCAAAAATTTTAGATTTTAAATCAGGTGTTAAAGAGGCTTCTGAAGAATGCGTTGACTCAGTAGTAGGAATTTTTAGTTGAGATTTTATATCACTTGAAGCTGTTACAAAATTTTCATTTAGAAGAGGAGTTATACCAGAAAATGCGGATTTTAAGAGTTTAATTTTCGTGAGTAATTTAAGTTTTGAAGACAACGGTAGTCTAGGGAAATAACTGGAAATTGATGATAAAGTCAGAGGACCCGATTGGTTTGATAATAAATATTTTAATGTAATAAAAGTTTTATCATTAGAAAGTTGATCAACAGTAGAACAGGGTAAAGGATCATTTTTTATTGAATTATTTTGTATGTAAGATAACAACATCGGATTTGATGACAACAGACTTAAAACAGCTTCAGATGGAGAAATTAAAGGCATTGACGACCGTTTAAATTGATTTATTGGTTCACAACGTGTCTGAAAAATTATTGAAATTTCCCCTATAAGGATAAACATTTCAAACTAAATATTTTTTTCTAAATTATAAATGTGTGGCTATTTTACAAAAGCTGATAGATCATTTTTAGCAATTTTTTAAAAGACTAAAAAAAATTAACAATTAAAATGCTGTCATATAAAAATTAATATTTATGAAATGCGAAAAAAAATTTTATCGATATTGACTCATCAATTTTTGGCAATTATATAATATTTTATGTCTCAATTTTTTTGCAACTTATCAGCTTCAGAATATGAGTCACAGAAAACATTATTTTCTAATTTTATTAAAGATATATGCTCCATTAAATAGATGAAAATAATTAATGATAATATGTTTAAGTGTAAACTATTGGGGATAAACATAATAATTTCACGTTAATATTCAATGATAATGATTACACTAATTTCTAAATATGGTCTTTTTTAAAACATAGCAAAACTAAAAAAATTTTTAACTCTTTATTATACTTTGTTTATCATTTTTTATAGTATATGTCATTTAGAATACATAAAATGAGGACTTGGAATCAATTACATAATATAGATCAAATAAATAGCTCATAATATTTTGAAATTTGAAGAAAATTCTAAACAAAATGTAAAACTCTTTAACAATAAATTATACTTTCCCTTTAATTACCTTTATAGTGTGTTCAGTAAGTAAGGAAACAGGTCAATTGTTACAAACAATAACAATAATAGAAATCTGTTTCCTTATTTACTGAACACATAAAATTATTTTTTTAATTTATTAAAAAAATATTAAATTCCGCCTTCGTCCATCTAAGACATTTAGATCATTTTATATGATAAGTTATAACATTGCCACTTAAAATATTTTTCGGGGATTAATTCAAATTTAATTTATTTGGATACATAGTACATTGGGTTGGTTGGTTATTGACTTTAAGTCAATAACCAACCAACTATTTAAAGTCCTTAAATAGTATTTAAGGACTTTAAGTCCTCTAATTTATAACAAAAAAGTAACATTTATTATTCCTAGAACAAAACGGTCTATGCGTGCTCTGCGACAAAATTAACATTATTTTCAATCATACATGCTGTAAACTATGAAAAATTGAGATAAGTACATAATGTAAACTGCGACAAAGTCATAGGATATATATTATGTAAGCTGTAATAAACTTTTTTAAATAAGAAATCATTCGTTTTCTGACTTTTCAATTATTATGTATATCTTAGGTCCGACAAATAACTAAACTTATAAACTGAAATACACTACAGACAAATTTTAATAAACATTTTATACAGTGAACTATTTTATGTTTAAATGTTTTTTATACAACTACTAAAGCCTATTAGATGATACTAAAATGTTATTTAAATAGTCGGTAAAATACAGAAAAAATTAATACTACACTATAAAATATGATCTTTTCTAATAATTTTTAAAAATTAGAGCAGTAGCGTTTTCGATAAAGTGTGAATTGTGGAATATACATTTATATTTTGCAAAATAATAAAAAAATTTTAGTTTATTATAACTATAAATTTAAAATTCATTAAAAATCCAAAATAACGACGCAAAAAAATTGATTTGTGCAAATCAAAAATGCAAAGACAATATTTAGTTTGAAAATAGATGATAAAATTATAAAATAAAAATCTTTTTTTGAACACAATAATATACAGGATTAATTGTTTCAAACAATTAAACTTCATGCAGTAACATTGTAAAGCGAAAACTGAATGACAGTAATATTAACGAATAATTCATTAGAAGGTAACAATTACCTTCTAAAATTGTTTGAAAAATATTTCAAAGTTTAGAAAATAATACATAACTATTAACTAATGATGTTTATAAAACTGCCAATATATGATCAATAATATATATCTTATATATACTGTATTGAAGGATTAATAAATGTATTGAACAAATAAAAAATTTTTGAAAATATTGACACGTAAATGTAATATTGACAATATCTATAATATTTAGCGGACGTGATAATTATATATTGATCAATAATGATGTTGATGTCAATGTTTATCAATATTTTGACAAAAATATTGGTCAATATTCAGGAAACAGGTCAATTGTTATAAACAATGAGAACTATAGAAACCCGTTTCCTTACTTACTGAATATTCTATATATTGATTTTATAAATTATGTCTATTTTGTCTGATTATTTATTTATAGACCGCATATATTCCTAAAAATGTATATAATGAAAAACTGAAATTTCAACATCACTCCCTCAAAATATTTATAAAATGCATCAGTCTTTAGAATCTATGAACATTTTAGTTAATAAAAATGAAAAGTTTTTTTTGAAAATATTGAAGATTTTTTATATTATTATTTTTACTTGTAATACAAATTTAAAATGTTTTATGAAAAAAAAATATATCACAGCTTGTATAATGTCTATATATAATTTTTCGCAGTAAACATCATGTGTGAGTAAACTTTATATGAGCGATTTAAAAAAAATGCTACTTATGTCGCAGTTTACCATCTCCCAACACTTTATATGTACTAAAATAATGTAAAAATTAACTTATAAGTTAGACTAACTAAATTGAGTTTGTATAAATAGTTATAAATTAATTTGGATGGAGGACTTTGTTAATACATAATTTCATACCTTGATTAAAATGGTTAATAAGATCACAACTGATAACTTAAAATAAAACATTTTGTTTTGAATTTCATCTGTCAACATTCACGACCAATGATTTTGAATTCCTAACAAATCGAAGTATTTATAAGGACGCTTTTATCGTTACATCATCTGACATGTTTAACAATGTGTATCATTTGTATAGTTGATAGTGTTTTGGATGTCCAAGGTTTTATTAATCATAAGAAATATGAATTACGTAATTCAAGATAAAATTTAATTTAAACAAAGATATTTAAAATTATAACTTATGAATCAGTTGTTCAATTCAGTTTTTATCAAGACAAATATTTGTTTTTAACTATAGTTGCCTTATAGTTTATTGAACTTTGCTGTACTTACCATTTGACAAAGAACGCCCTGAGATATTTTAAAGAGGGATTTACATTTTTAACCATCACTAGACCACTTTTTACATTTTATTTTAAAAAATAATGCAACTTAAATATAAAATTATTGCGGGCCTACTTATGGCGATAAAACTATTTATCAGTCAGCCTTTTGTTAAGGCTAACTTTTTTACGATGTCGCTCTCAAAAATGTTTCTATCAGTTGAGAAGATCGAGTGATATTCAGTGAGTAATAGTAATAACCTAGTTTTCTACAAATCTATTATAGCAAAATATCAGGTGACCACATCAAATAATTAATTAGGTTACCAAAACCTTAAAAACGTGATTTATAAATATCAGTTTAGTGTTGTCTCTTAAAAGTTGTTTTAAAGGTTTAACACAAATATTTTATAATACTCGTTTTCTAAAAACTCTTTTCAAGATAAATTTATTTTGTTATATTTTACTTTGGTAATAATATAAATAACAAGCAAATTGTAATGGATACAAATCTATATTAAAAATTTTGTTACACTAGTTAACAAAAAAATTAGTCATGAGTTTTTAAAACATTTTAAAATTTGAGTGATCATTATTTTCTCCAGGTCAAGGGAAAACATGACTTAAAACTAAAAAAAAAACATATTTACACTAATTAAAAAAATATGAAACGTTAGTATATTGTACCTCACATGTTGATACTTAATATTGTTAGTAATTGTATGTTTTTTTTACTAACGGTTTGTAAAAAACTTAAGTTGTTGCAATTTTTCCATTTTCTCCTACCGAAAAAATCTTTATAAATTAAAAAAGAAATAATTAAAAAAATTTCTTCTTAAATCACTATCACTATATTGTGTCAAATAAGAACGTCGCCGTGATTGACCAGTAAAAATTATAAACTCTGGATATGAATTAACATCATTCAACGCATAATAAAATGCGTTGAGTGATGTTAATTCACATTTCTCTTGTGGCCATGTAACGGCTAAATTTTTTAATTATCTTATCAAAACAAGTAAATAATTGACGATTTTATTTGTTTAAAAATTAGTTTTATTCGTTGTCGTGTTATGTACAAGGGCCATTATCTTCAATGCAAGATATTACAGGTAAAACAAATTTGATGAAGTATGTTAAATTAACATTGACGAACTTCTATGATAATATGAACACCGAACGCATGAAAATTATTAAAATAACCTTGAATCCTTCTCATAAATACTTTTAGGCCTTATAGTACTTATTTGTTAAAATTGCTATATCAGCACAAACATTTAATATATTAAACACAATTTGCATATGCTTAATTCAGAAATGAACTAATCCATATAGATGTATTTTATTTTATAAACAGTACAATGTTTTTATTGATATTATAACTATAAATTATTCGCTGAGCGAGTAAAAAAAAAGCAATGCTGTAATACAATAATTCGATTGAAAATTAAAAACAAATAAATACTCGTTTTGAATTATTCGTGTAAATTTTAATAGATAATCAAAATAGTATAAATAAATTTAAAATACAAAGCACGATTAGGAATAAAAAAAAAAATAACGTAAACGTTATATCCAGCCCTTATAAAACTTAATCAATTAAAGAGTAATTCTCTTACTGTAACTACATTTGCTTATTACATTGATATGCGTTTGCCAAAAGCTGCAGTTTTTGTAATATATCTGGATTTGTCACTAATAAACTGTACAAAAAATACAAGTTTTCAGATGATAATTGTTGGCTTACTAGAGACTCGGCTACATCAATAGGATTTGTTTTACATTCAGTTTTCGTTTCGTGTACGGGAGTTCCGATATCACACTCTGGGACAGTAAATGGGTTATATACAGGTGGTGGAGTAACTAAATATTTTGAATAACATGGCTGCATACAATTGTGTAGAGGCGGTGGAGTGATTAAATAGTTTGAATAGCCTGGCTGCACATAGTTTTGTAAAGGTGGTGGAGTAGTTAAGTATTTTGAATAGCTTGGCTGCACATAGTTTTGTAAAGGTGGTGGAGTAGTTATATAATTTGAATAGCCTGGCTGCACATAGTTTTGTAAAGGTGGTTGGTAATGTTCAAGTCCGGGATTACTGTCACATACCTTTTCTTGTAAGACATTAGACAGCACTTTAAGAAGAATTGGGGTTAAGGATGACTTTTTATTAATTTTAGGAAACGACAAAATTTTAGCCGTTACTTTTGTAGGTAATAAAGTTTGTTCTACCGAAGGATTGTTATTTTTGACTGAATTGCTTCCAGATGGACACGATAAATCATATGGTTGATTAGGATACAAAAATGCTCTTGTCTATAACAATAAATTAAAATACAAAATTACAAACAATAAAAAATTTAATCACTGAAATAATATTTATAAAAAAAATTAAGTGTCTTCTATCATAAAATAAAGTAAACACAATTAAATTTTAAATTAATAATTTTTTTTGTATACCTAAAAAAGTCAGTTCAAACTTAAATTTAATAATAAGATAAGAACGAAAATACGACATATATTAAACGCTTCAAATGGTAAAAAAATATTGGGTTGAGGTCAATTAATTCGTACGGATAATATTACGAACACTATGAAAACAATACACAAAAACATTAGTGACGTAAAAAAAATTATATCACCTCGGCAAAAACAGCAAGAACCAATACAGTGAAAAAAAATTTCATTTTTCATGGGTTTTCTATATAGCGTTTGAATAGTTTTATCGACTAAGAATAATATCTTATGAATAAATTTAACTGTTTCGATGTCTTAAGTAGGTACACGACAAACAGTCGATAGTGTTTCAGAAACGTCACTTGCTTAATCAGTACACAATTTATTTAAAAATAACATTTGTCATTATATCTTCTAAATTTCATTTGTTTTACTCTACGATTATAGTCACATTTGTTGATGAAGAAATGTTAAATGCAGAAGAATATACTTCAAATTTTTCAAAGCTGTTTATGTCATGGATACATTGTTATTACACATATTTAACACGTACAAGTTGATTTCGTTGAAAATTTCCTCAGGCGTAATTCGATGATGCTCGAAAAAACGTGCTAAGTCTAAAATACATAACATTCAGAGACCAAAAATACATTTTTTATAATTATTTATAATACTTTTAAATTGCTCGTTTTCTATAAGTTTAACGATTCTTGAAATTGTTATATTAAAGTACTTTAAATGTTACCATGTTTTAAGATATTGTTCACATTAATAAGGTCTCATAATAAACTTTTTTTAAAACAGGCCTCATTCCTAAAAATATTTAACTAATTATTATTAATTTGATTTTTGTTTCTAAAAAATCTGAGAATAGTAATAAGAGAAAAAAATTGAGAATAGTAAAACACGTACGATTTGAATAACCTACATTTTTTTCTTTGATCTAAGAATTTATGATTATATTATCAAATCCTAAATTGATAAATTATAAAATCAGACGAACAAAAGTATATAAACATTCTATAAATAAACATTTGTTTTTTTTTTTAATTTGCAAGTCAGTGTAAAAATATTTGGGTAACAGACAGGAAAATATTTCAAATAATTCATCTAAAGTTATTTTTAATGAAATAGTATAATTAATTATTTAAAATAATTTGGTAATATGTTCAAAAGTTAATACTCTAAATATATATTTTACTATTTTTAGCAAACATATAAATTCCACTTCAAAGGCAGTAAATTAATAACATAGTAACAACGTCTGTTCAATAATCTTAGCACAAAAAAAAAAAAATTAATTTTACCAAATTATTTTCAATTATTGTGAGATCTATGTATACATCTAGTGTTTATAATGACACACATATATATATATATATATATTTGTAGTGGTGTTCGACAATTGCACAAGTCATACATTAGGTTATCTCTAAATAAAAAAAATATATTATATTTATAAAAAATCATTTATTTTAGTCTAAAATTAAAACTGAAGAAAATTTAAAGAATTATTTTTTATTAAAATTTGGTATTACATAGTCTTATAAAAAGTGGATTAATAGGTTCTTTTTTTAAAAAAATTAGTCATTTTGGTAAACGGCTGTTTACTGACAACGGCTATATAAAAAGTTATATTGATAAGATATTATAGATTATTTATTTTCAAATTTAATCGTTCTACTTGTAATCAGATTCATATTATTGCTACAGATAAGATTTCACTTATTGATTATAAATAATGATCTAAATTATCTAGTCGACAAAAACTTTTGGACCTATATATTTCAGTAGTTATGATGATTTCAAAATCAAGAAATTTATGTAACTAAAAAAACAAATAATTTTTCAATAATGTTTTTATTTTGCGAGTAATAAAATGATTTATGATACTCCATCCGGTCAAATTTTACTAATATTATCCGAAAGAAGTCCTAAATATTAGGTAAACCTATGGTCTAGTTTCACTTAAGATTTCGTCCTCTGGTATGTTGTTGAATTTCATTTTAACCTAAATTATTGAATCTTAATGAGATAAAAATCAAATGATTTAAAAATTGTTTTCTAACTCAAAAAAAATGCAAAATATTAATTGCCACAGGCGGATTTAAACATCGTACCCTAAGCGTGAAAGACACTAGTGTTACCGCTTCGGCAACTGTTCATCACTTTAGTCGTATGATAAAATTAACAATTTGAGCAAAGTCAAATTTAAAAATTACTTTTTCGACTTTAAAAAAATTTTAATAATACAATAAAAATTGATCACTTGTGGCTAATTAATTAAGTAAAATTAAAACTATATTAAAAATATTATTAATTTAAAAAACTAAAAAATATTAACAATATTAAACTCAAAGCCACAAAAAATTAATGAAAAGTCGCGGATACGTATTTCGGAAACAATGTTACCATTATCAACGCTAAACACATACTGACACCCCGACTAGGAAAAACTCCCTTATATACCCCTAGTAATCTTATCACCTAGTAACGTCATCACTAAGTAATATTATCACATTTTGCCAGTTTACACAAGTTTAATAATGAATTATTCAGTGGGCCAAGATCCCAATTAATTAAATTGTTTTTATTTTTAAACATTTCTATTGCTTCTCTGATATTAAGTTCTTTGTAATTATTTACGTTTTTAATTAGTTTTATGGTTTTAATAGAGTGATTATGTGTCAATAAATGTTCAGCCACTGGAGATTTCTCAATTTCTTGATTTTTAATATTTCTTAAGTGCTCTTTAAACCTGACCCCTATATTTCTTTTTGTTTGTCCTACGTAACATTTATTACAACTTTCACATTGTATTTTATAAATGCCTGATTTCCCCCCTTCATCTACCTTATCTTTAGGGTTACCTAATAAATCTCTTAAATTATTACTCTTAGATGTTACCAAAGTAATACCAAAATTCTTAAATATTTTAGTTAATCCATTTGAGATGCCCGGATAAAATAAAATTGGTGATCTAATTACTTTTTGTTCCCCCTCGCTGGAGAGTGTACTAGCTGCCCTCCTTTCTTTTTTCCACTTTTGTTTTCGGACTAATTTCAAAATTATGTTTTCGTTATACCCATTAAATTTAGCTATTTCTTTTATAACCNATTTTGTGTTCGGACTAATTTTGAAATTATGTTTTCGTTATACCCATTAAATTTAGCTATTTCTTTTATTAACACCAATTCTTTATCATAATCTATTTTATTCATCGGAATATTAATTAATCTGTAAACCATACTATTAAAAGCTGACAATTTGTGTTGCCAGGTGTGGTTCGATGTGTTCGGAATGTATCTGAACGTGTGTGTTTTTCCGATAAATTTCAAAATTTAGTTCCCCCTCTGTTCTTTTAACTAATAAATCCAAAAAAGGCAATTTTCCCCCTCTATTTCTTGTTCATATGTAAATTTAATCGATGGGTAAAAAGAATTTAAATGTTGTATGAAAACCCCCATATTAAAATCTTTATTTATAACTGCAAAAATATCATCTACATACCTAACCCAAATTTTTGTAAAATCACCATAAGTGTATTTTAAATTTGTTTCAAACCTACTCATGAAAAGTTCTGCTAAAAATGGTGATAGCGGATTTTCCATTGCTGTGCCCTCAGTTTGCTCATAAAATTTATTTTGAAACTGAAAAACATTTTGACTCATACATAACTTTGTTAAATTAATAAGCTCATTTATTTTATCCTGTTCAATGTTTTGGTCCTTTAGCCAGTCTTTAAGAAAATTAATTGTTATATTTATTAGAATATTCGGAAATAAGGCATCTACGTCAAAAGAAATTAACCTGTCATTATTTTGAATGGTATAACCAGATAATTGTTTAACTAAGTCAATATTATTTTTAACTGAAAAGCTATCGAATTTTTTGAAAGATGAAAATACCCTTACTAGGTGTTTAGCCAAATTGTAAGTCGGAACATTAATATTCGACACAATAGGTCTTATAGTACTTCCTGGCTTATGTATTTTTGGCAAAGCATATAGTTTAGGTATTTGAGGGTTTGAAATTTTAATGAAAAACTTGAACTTTTCTTCAATTATTAATTTTGAACTATTTATGATGTTTGTAGCCTCCCTTATCATTTTACTTAATGGATTCTTTTTAATTTCTTTATAAGGACCCTCTTGAATCATTCTTGATACTCTTTCATAATAATCTTCTTTTTTTAGTATTACAACAGAATTCCCCTTATCTGCCTTTAAATANCATAACAGAATTCCCCTTATCTGACTTTAAAAAAAATAGTTTTTCATTTTTTCCTAAACCCCCTTTATTTATAACAGAATTTTTTTGTAGAAAATTTAAACACTCCCTTCTTGCTCAGTCTTGATTATTAAAATCAACACTTTTAACCCTCATTTCAATGCCTACTAGTAGATCTTCCATTGGAAATTTTTTTGGTAAAAAACTTGTTTTAAGACCCAACTTAAGTATTTCAGTTTCTTCAACGGAAAAAACAATGTTTGTGTAATTTTTAACTAAATCGTCCCCCCAGTTTTTAGAAAATGAAACTACCGGACTCTTATTAAAATTATCTATTTGACCCTTATTTTTGTATTCTGAAAGTAAATTTTGAAATTTTTTATTTAACTTTTCTTTTTTTGTTTTAAATTTATGTTCAACCACTTGGTACATATTCAGCTCGAAGATGTCCCACTGTGATTGACTCAAAAAATTAGAGAGTTTTAAATATAATAGATAAGTCCCCATTTCTAATCTACTTCTATTGCGATAATGATTTATTATTTCTAACTTAAGAAATTTCTCCTGAGCGAAATTTATTGACTTGTAAAAATTAATATTATTATTGTTTGACTTACTTGGTAATCTGGCAAACTTCGGAGTCATATGGAACTTAATACATTTTTTGAGAAAAAATATATCAGCTCCAATCAGGCGTACTTTCGTCTTGATTTGCATCAGTTTGTTTAACTCTTTATTATGACTTTTCATTAATTTTTTGTGGCTTTGAGTTTAATATTTTTAATATTTTTTAGTTTTATAAATTAATAATATTTTTAATATAGTTTTAATTTTACTTAAATTTGAATAAGTTTAATTTCTTATGTCTTAGAAACTACATTCTATATTAATTAGTTTTATAATATTTATGAAAGTTAGTGTATTCCCCTTGTAAGATATTTTAAAATAAAATAAAATACAAAACCTAGAATTTTAACTCAAAAATAGCATATTTTTGAATACGGTAGCCATTTTCACCAATTTGAAATTTTTTTTTGTGTCATAGTAAAGTTTATTTCATTAGCTTTAATTTAAGATATATATAAAAATGTCAGACTTTCCGGAACACTTTCAAAAGTTAAGTTGAAAAAGTTCTACTTTCTATATGCATTTTTTAGATTTGAACTCCCCCCGTTTAAAGGGAAATGGTCTAATTAAAAAAAAAAAGTATGTCGAATGCAAGATATATATAAATATTACTTCTCATGAAAATATTGAATTGATCCATACATTTTTCAAAAAGTTATAGCATAATAAAGTTAAAAATGTAAAATACAAAATCGAGAATTTTCACACAAAAATAGTATTCGGTAGCCATTTTCACC